GCCAAGAGGGAGAGAGAAGCAGTAGGAAGTAGATCAGCTGCTTATAGGTCTAATTCCACATATATGTACGAATCATCAAACACACACAAACACACATATACACACACACACACTCTCATACATACACATACATACGCACACACAAGCGCTGTGCTCAGTAATGAGCATACAAACAAACCCATACACTTAAACAAAAGCATTAGTAAAATAGATTAAAGATACAACCAACAGTTTGTACAGTAGCATAGATTTATTATATATATGTACATAAATGCTCAATACGATCACACATCAGATTCTGGTTGTAAATCAATAAGTAGTTGACTTTATCAGTTTTGATTTGAATTATAAATGAAACATATTTTAATTTCAGTAACAAAAATGATTAGAAAAAAAACGCAGGCATTCTCAATGTATGATAAATTTATACATAACATATCGGCATTGAAAAGATTGGTCATGAGGTACAAAATGAAACTGGAAGAAAACAAAAAAATTGAGAGTGAAAGGTTCGATTAGAAGGACATTGATTTATCTTTACTTTAAATCAAAGAATGAAATGGAAAGTAACAAAAGCATGATTGATATTTTAGGTCACAGTGTTTAAAATATAATGTATATGAAAACAATACTTGGTTTTTTAGAATATATATAGGAAGTATGACAAATGACGCTTGATTTTGAATATCGTACATGGAGAAGTGAGAATCAACGGGTAAGCCTTCTTTGAATTTTAGAAACAAAAGCTTCAACAAACAAAACTGGGAGATGTTTGATGATGTTTACAATTCACAACTGGTTCATGAAACACGCGAAATTGTATCATAAGTTTCAGATCCTTTGCAACACCGTCAGGTTGTTTAAAAGGCGGGACCTCAAAACTTAACATTAATCTCCGATAGGACAATTGTTACACGTGACTTAAGAGAGGGAGATAAAAAGCCGCCCAAACACGCCGCAATTGGCCAAAACAGACGGCTGACTTGAATTTAGGCCATTTGAAAATTATGTCTCATATATGTATATCATTCCTTATCCATCTGGGCAGATATACAATGAATGTTCAAATGAAATTTGAAGCACTACATGTTGGGTTTTTTTTCAGATGGCACTACTGCATAAGTGTAGTGCAAATGTGAAGCCCGTTGTCTTTATGTAGATGGAGTTTTTGATTTTGAACTTATGAACTTATGTATCGGAGCAGTAATTTACACAATGTAGCCTGTAATAAGTTTTGATATTAGTTTCATTCTTGTAATAAATCTTCAAACTATGTCGTATACAAATAAAATGTCCTTAACTCAGATTCAAAATATTCTTTTCCATCAACCTTTTGATATTTCAGTTCACAAGAGAAATGACAAAGACATAAACAACAATAACGAAAGAACATTAATGCAAACGAAATGTGAGGCAGCGTGGTGGAATCAGGCTCTCGTCAATTTTTGGGCATGTAGAGTTATTGGTACCATCTTAAAGCTTATTCACTTGTCTTTATATGGATGAAAAAAATATACGTTCGTCTTGAATACAAGTCGAGATATTTGCGAAAGAAGGAGGTGGGGGTCACCTGTTTTCAGAGGTAAAATTAGTGAGAAAAGGGCCACCAAAGATTTGTTATTTCCTTAGCTTAAGAGTCTGTGGTAACTGAAAATTTACATTTTTGTGCCTTTAATCAACATTGTTTAGAAAAATCCACACAGAAATGAGTTCTTTAATGGGTATGAAAGGTGTTGTGCAAAAAAAGCACAAATTTGATAAAAATTTACAAACCTGCAGAAAAATGCAAGTTTCTTCACTTTGATTATTTTGACGAGAGCCTGATTCCACCACGCTGCCTCACAAATAGCAAATTATATTACCACCAAGTAATTAGCATACTCCAAGCATTCAGACAATTCTAATATCAATCAAAAACCACTTCAAAACAAAATAGAAAAAAAACTTGCAAAATAAAAATGCAAGTATAAAGCTTCCCCAATATTGAGAAACTAAATATATATAGGAATAGAAATGTTTTGTTAGCTTAGTCATCAACTAAAATCGTCTTAGCTTCTCTTTGTAAAACATCCAAAAGAAATCAGTAGGAGCAGGTTACAGTAATTTCATGTTTGTTGCTAGCTAAACTATGAAACAATCAAAACACAAAAACAGACACGCATTCTTAGTGACGAAGGGTTTACATCAATTACAAAACACAAAGACAAAGCAAAAAAGTATACACCAGAGGAAATTCAATTATAATATGCATCACTGTTAGCAGTATGAAGATAGTGCTGTAAAACACCTACTCAATCAATCAATCAGCAGGATAGTGAATTCATGTCAGACAAACAACAGGCTCAACAACGGACGTATCTGTTGACAAACATCTAGGACAGTCAAACAAAAATCTCACAGTTACAAATACAAAAAAAAAAATCCCACACTTATTTAGTAAAGGAACATAAAGAGATGACATTACCCTGAATATCAAAGCTGCGCCCGCTCATATGACCTCATACAGTTGTGAGCGCCGTAAAACATTTACCAATGCTGCGCCATTTTATGAGAAATTCCCAGTTGAAATTACAAAAGTACATGTAGCAGTAGTGAACACACATGTTTCAAAATGGACTCTCTCATCAGTTCCCTCCAAAATAAATTCAGTATTAAATCTGTAAAATACGGAAATCTCTTCTTTTTGAAAGCTGGACTTTAGGCTTGCTAAGACATTATATAGCATTTTTTAAATTCACACTGAAACAAAACTTTGAGAGAATCTCTATAATTCTTCTGTCTTCAGCTATAAAGTTTGGGTTCCTAGTCCACAAAAATACAAGGCTGTAAACCACAAAGCTCTCACAGATTGTAGATCAGAGGAACATCCTCATCTTGTATTTCAGCTGGTTTTACTTTCTAGTTTTTAAAATTCACAGATTTCAAGGATTCAAATTCTGTTTGTTTTCAAAGAGGTCATAGTATGAGAATGATCTGATGTGAATTATCAATTAATTAAATAAATAAAGATACACTTCTTATTTTGGTACTTTTAAATAGCCTACCAATGACTTAAATAAATGCTGTTACATAATCCTTAATGTTTGTGGGGTAAACGTAATCACAAATTGCTTGTTAAATAAATTGTAAACATTCATAAATCTTGCACTTTCCTTCATCCCTATATATTCCAAAACAGGCTAAAAAGCCTCATCAAATTGGAGGGATGTATATTTGTGTGAAACGATATTGTCTGAGGAACAGAGAGACAGTGTATACATCTTCAATTAATATGATTATTTGATTCTGTTTGTGTTTAACTCCTATCAGCCAAAACGACACGCTCCCTGTCATTTTTCTTTACCCTCATCTGCCAGAACAATACAGAGGCTGTCGTTTTCACTTCCCTTAATTAAACACACATTTCTATCCAGTCCTCCAAATCCATTTTTACAAATAGTGATCAACTTTTTAAAAAACCCAATATGATTCTTCATTTTTTAATGAGAATTTGAAGCGTGAAGGCGTATTTTTCCAGCAGCAGCGCTTTGTATCACTGACAATTTTGGATCTAGAATCCAACTTACTTTTAAAATCAAGATTGTTGATCAAATTCCACAACAACATACGTCTGATTTTTTTCTGCATTCAATCTCACAATTCACTTCCCCATATGTTACCGATGGTTAATTTTTTGGCATGGTAAATGAGGCAGATCTCGATCCAAAATTGTCAGTGATACAAAAACTTGCACGAACTCTAAATCACAATGTAGATTTAATTCTAGCTGTGAAGGAAAATCCATGAATTACATTCTGGCTGATAAAAGTTAAAACTTGTAAAATGCAAGACATTCTAAAAAAACAAACAAAAAATTATCACAACAAAAAAGTTTGCAGTGTTTGCAAATTTTCAAACAAACATATAGTAATTTATACACGTATCAGCAGTAGACCTTATACTTAAAAGTAATCACATGAACAATACTTCATTTTAAAAATTATGTAAAATTTAAAAAATCCTATTTATTACAGAGGAAAAGATTAGAGGAAGAGCGATAAGTGATGTTTATCATTTAAGCCGCACTATGGGCCACTCTTTTTAACCATCTCACACAAATTAGAAGCAGAGCAGACAGTTTTCACACACTTAGAAACACCCCACTCTTCACTCTTTGGAAAATTTGAAATGCTGCGGAAAAAAATTGAAAAACAGACAGGAAGATTGCAAGTCGCCCATTTCAATTATAATTCATTACAACAATATCATCAGCACTTGACTTGTTGGAGAGAGAGGGTTAATGAACTGTTTCACGACAGAAGAAAGAAGTTACATACATGTACCAACAACAACCAGAACTTCAAACTAGGCTTCGAATTCAAGGGAAAAGGACCACACACAGCAGTATCAAAAAAATACAACTAACTAACTTTTCGGACTACCAAAAACTTATCATCATCTGTGCCGCATCTCATTAACATAAAATACACCATACCTTTCCACTATTTTTCGGCTGTGCTGTATCTCATTAATAGAAAATATACCATACCTGTCCAGCGTTTTTCAGCCCTATATATAATAATAATAAATAGCATTTGTATAGCGCATATCCCCGCTCAACAGCAGGCTCTATGCGCTTTACACTATACTATTACCCCAGCAGACCATAGAACACACCGAAACATTCTCAGCTTCCCGGGAAGCATACAGTGCAAGCAGCCGATTAAGCGTTCAAAGACTAACAAACTGACAAGATCTTTCGCTGTCTATAGCCGGGTACCCATTCCCACCTGGGTGAAGTGAAGAAAACTCGTGTAAAGTGCCTTTCCCAAGGACACAACATCGGGCCCCTGATAGATAGGCTACAGGTCTAACATAAGGACAAAAGATGCTTACAGCCCAGCATTATCCCACATCTATCAGTTTTCAAATGTCGTGAGGCGAGATACAGTAATTTGGTCCTTCACCATTAACTAATTGCTTGGGATTCTAAATGCACCCAGAGATATTATAACAATATGTTTTTTTTTTTAAGCAATAGCATGGCATCAACAAGAATGAGATAAATTCCCTAACTAACAAAAAAACATAATTATTTTCGCTCAAATTTCTTCACATAAAAAGATATAATGAACCCAAAAGCATATTCAAAACAGGCACTTTTAAATGCATGGCAAAAGCTAACGCTACATAAAATAGACCAAAAAATGGCAATAAGGTTGTAAAAATACAATGAATATCACAGGAATAACTGGCGCAAAATTGCCACCAAACACCTTTAAAACTGTATGTTTTCTCTTTCTGAGATCGATTTCAGCAATCCTACAAGTAAAGTTTTGAAATGGCAGCATCAACAAGCCTCATCTATCATCTTTTTAAAAAGAAATATTTGGTTAACTACAAAAATCTTTCACTGGCACCTTTTAAAGTTTCTGGACGCGAAGCAACAAATGATAAATGGATAACAGGTTCTCAAAGAAGTAGGATTAAATTTTCTCATTCATAATAGACCCCATACACGGATGCAACAGCGTAAATAGATTTATTCCTGAACTCGTGCGAAGAAAAAGTGTCATTTGCCTCGTCCCACAAACAGCGACTGCCGACTCTCATTCCTTGTGCTTTGAGCTCACCAATCTGTACCAGGCAAATTATCTTGTAACGAGGAATCATCAGAGACTTCACTCTGGCCTTGATTGTCTGCGAAAAAAATAAAAATGCGCATATAAATAAAATGTGGGAAATGGTGTACATGACATGATACAAACAGGCCGCAGAGCACTCATGCAACAAAATAATCGTGAAGACTGGCTTCATGTAGGGCTGGACACAAATAGATGACCAGGACTATACAGCTGAACACAGGAGTACAGAAATACTTAACCGAGTACGCAAGTTCAAGGGTGGAGAAGGTCGGGACGAGTACAGATAAGAATTGGACTACGAAGAACAAGTAGACAACGCTTTTCCAATCCAGCGGCCATTTGAGTTCTAGTCCTTCGGCCTGATTCTTACATTACTTTTCCGTAGACAACGCTAAAAATACATTAATTATGAACTTTCTGCTCTTTAACACAGATTGTAAATAAGGCTTTCCAACAATAAGAACTGACAAAAAGGGCACACCATCAGAATAAAACTGAACAAGACATCAGTGTTATTAAAGGAACATCCCCTTGTAGTAATAGTCAAACTTCAAACTACTTACATGGTACAAAGCTAATTTTTCAACTACTTTAAGAAGTCTCTTTCAATCATGTGTGTATTGAATTTGTAAAATCATTTCTATTGAAATTGAAATAAATCTTTTCTTATACAATACATAGCTGGAAAGAGAATTGTGAGGCGTGCTGACAAAAGGAGCTACTTCTCACAATCCACAAATGGAGATGTCTGTCGAAAATTTAGATTGGGGTCAAATTTGTAGATTTTCAATGGATGCCATTTTATTTCCGTCTAATAAGTCTTTTATTATTTTATATCCATATATAAATTGTACAAACACCACCTATAAATCTGACGTATCTGTTTCCATAGCACTAAAATACGAGAAGTAATTCCTTTTGTTTGTCCATCTCGCAATAATTTATGACAACAAAGATTACAACCCTTTCCACCTCCCCTCCCTCCCAAACACACATGCTACACAACATCTATTCACCCTCGGGGACAGAACATTCAAAGAAATGTCTTTAGTGTGGTCTAGTGGTAAGGCTCTCAAACTCAAAGTCAACTGTAAACTTATGGGTTTGAATCCCATCAAGGGCCTGACCTTGTGTCCTTGGGAAAAGCCCTTTACATAAATTTACCCAAGTTTACCCAATTTACATAACTTTACCCAAGTGGAAAAAGGCACCTAGCTATATACAGCGAAAGATCTTGTAAGTTTGTCAGTGTTTTAGCGAGGATTTACCATAGCTTGCACTGTACGCTTCCCACACAGCCGATAACGTTTCTGAGTGATCTAGGGTTGGCCAAGGTAATCATAGTGGTCAAGCGCACAGAGCTTGCTGTAGCGTGTGGATATAAGGTCGCTTTTAAGGACAAGCTGGCTAACCCAAATTGTGAAGGTTTCCAGAAATCTTTACCAATACCGAGAGTGGGCATTGCCCTATCTATAGGAGAAGTTTGGTTTCATTGGTGTGTATATTTGTTTGGTTATAGAGAAAATTGTCCTTGTCTTTTACAGAAACTGAACAAGGGGCAAAAACTTAACCTTTGATTTTCTCAAAACAGCATTTTTCGGGATAATCCCCTTGTGTTTAAAAGCGACCATATATGCACTAAAAAAAATGCAATTACCATTATTACTTACATCTGAAAGAGTTTTACTCATGTCACGGCAGAAATCCGGTCTGTACTGCTCTTCCGAAAGCAAATTTTCCATGGACTCTTTGATGATGCTTCTGACTGTTGCGTAAGGGAATCTCTTGGCCGGTTCAAGTTGGTACGTGTTCTCAAACTTGACAGGGGCGTGGTAGTGGTCGTCATGGCCTGGCTCATCCATGAAGGACACTGAGCTGACTGACCGGTTGGACAAATGCCTGTACGTGCATAGACACAAAATTATTCAATTGTTAAATGCACTTTGTGTACAAAAGGACAATATTCATTTTTCAACAGTAAATAAGTGGGAAATACAAATATACAGGGTTAAAAAATATCATGCAAACGTAGGATGATATTTTGCCCTCAGAAACCTTATTCCTGTTTCACTTTTTTTTTCAGCACTATGTTAATTGAGAAGAATCCTTTCTGTTTTCATTTTTAAAAGTCCTTGCCCCAATTTTGAAGGGACTACCATCCCAGTGTGCCGTTTATGGTTACTTAACACTTTCAAAATGACTTAATAATGGTAATCAAAAAGCAAATCCATTTTTGTATTAAAACAAAACAAACATAGCATTTAAATAATAGTGTGTATTAAAAGCATCAGGCATCACCATTCATAAACAAAGCTATCAACATTGTAAAAGGACAAGCAATGTAAACCTACATAATGAGAAACAAAAATGCCAGATATGTCACATCTTCACTCCTTCATTTCACGTTAAAGATTTGTTACTAAATACCGATGACAGGGTAGCTGAAGCATAATCTTTTCCTTAGATATCACATTGCAGCCAATAAAGCTGGATGACAAATCTAATTAAGGTTGAAACAGGTCTAAAATACAAAAACAGAACTTTAGCCCAAAACTTACCCAACTTTCTGGGCACGGTCATGCTTTGCTGCTTCACTGCTAGTGAATGAAGACACCGACCCCTGCTTCTTCAGCAGACGGGCTGCCTTGTCTCTTGCAACATCTCTATCTGACATCTTGGCAGCTGAAAAGCGATACAGAGCACAAAGAGACCAGGTAAAAAATACAGTCGAAATTGTCAAAGACGTCCATCCAGGGTCGAGGAGAAAAAGTGTACCGTAATCTCCGTCTAAACGCACGATGCTTGAGAAGACCCGTAAGCTTGTGTTTATACGGAACGTGCGTTTACATGAACCTGTGCAAAGGGAGGAAGGAACTCAATCATCTCATTTCCTTGATATTTTACGAACCTCCCTTGGGGCGGAGGTGGTTCACTTTGGCCGATAATGTGACGACACATGACTGTGTAGGATTCCCCGACTGCGATTATGAATTATGAATACAAAGGCGTTGAAAGGGTCGGGGAGGGGGGGGGGGGGGCTCAGAAAGACAGACTCTCTGAACCGATGCACTATAAAATGTCAGATACAGACACACAAGAGGAAGTTTCGTGATTGATCTAATCACAGCTCCGTGGCTTTCCAAGCGACCAATCCCAACTTGGTGAATGCATGGAAGACATCAGCCTTTTCTTTCGTGATTTTTTGAACAACTACGTTATAAGTTCTCCGAGGAGCACAGCTGATTACTTTACTCATCTTTAATAAGAGGCCTATCTTGTGTTTTACAGCGAATCATAGGCCTAACTAAACATTACGTATGCAGTCACTCAAACATCAGAAGACATTTCAGCACACACACACCCCCCCCCCCTCCCTAAACACGTCACCCGACCAGTCTCAGACCAATGTGTCTGTGGAATGTTGGGCATTAAAACTCCCTCCATCACTCGCTTTGTTCTGCGTGAGGGCCAGTCTCACCAAATATTGGTACCCGGTTGTCTAAGCTTGTCTTTATGCAAGCTGTGTGCGCTGCAGCGAAAATTTCCCCATTGTCAAGCTTTGCCTGTTGGCATGTTTCACGGATTGAAGCGTGTGTTTAGAAAAAGTGACCGAGCGTTTGTACGTCTAAATTATATAGTAAAAAACCCGTCATATGACGATACTGTGCTGTGGTTAGCTGTGTGATTCTCAGGGAGTACGGTAGGCTACCTATTTGACATTGAAGAAAACAAGGACAGGCCGAGGCGTGAGCCACGGACTTTTGAAGACTGCGTGAGTAGCGGTCGAGGTGCAGAGCAGAGAGTTCGGACCAGACAGTGCAAGTTGGATCGCTACATGAGGTGGGTGTGCATAGTTAAACCACATGCGTGTATAGTTAAACAACATGTGCGTTTTGAGTGGAGCGTGCTTTTGTATGGCGTGCGTTTAGGTGGAGAACGGTATAGAAGACAGGAAGACATCTTCAACAATGCCATTATAATGTCCCGTTGGACAATAATGAGTAAATGTTCATGCTCATAATAAACTTTTAGCCGACAAATTGCTGAACAGACTGTAGATAACTTAACATCACTTTTCACTACTTTTAGAGTCCCAATGAAAATTACATCCTCAAAGAGTTAAGTTATTTTCCTAATAATCTACCATAAGGGCAGTACATGAGCCTCTTTTAAGTGGCCTATAGTGCAGAGCATGCCCCGCTTCATTTCAATGAGGAAGTATAATTTTACAAATGAAAAAAGGCTATATATATATATCTAGACCAGTATGTTGAAGGGCAATTATTATGGAAAGCAATTGCTTTATTTGCTTTAAATATACTACATTTTTTAAACCACTTCCTTTTTCTAAACCAACTGTTTTACTTTCACATTTTTCATCTTTCTTGTACACCCCAAACATGAAAAAATTAATCATAGTGACATTATAATGAGGCCATTAAATTGCCATTATACAGGACAGGGTCTTATCATGCTAAGGCTGGTCCGCTGAAAAGCTTAACAACACTTTAAAATAATTAAAAGATAGTGTGGTACATTTTCATCAGTTTAAATTGTTAAATCAAGAATAAAAAACAGCTTCATCAGAGAAATTGATCTACTCATGTGTCGTGCTGTTGTGAAGAAAACATACTTACGAGATCACACTAAAACTGTTCACCTGACTCTCTGCGTTTCTTATCTCTAGACCTAACTTGAACAATCAAACTATGGTAACTAACTTTAACAACTTGTCATAAACAAAAGCAAGTCTGGTCACATTCCAAGTTGTGTCAGTTTTGCGTAATTCCAACAAAAATTACCTGTCTTTCTTCTGCTGAAGCACCTGTTCTCTCAGTAGTTGCTTAGATACTATGATGCTACTGTGCTGGAATCGAAAGGATAAGTAAAACTGTTCTAAAACTTCAACAAGTTTTTATGAATTGAAAGGAATTTTTCCTTTAAAACCATAAATAACATAATTAATTTGACATATTAAAACTAAAATGATACAATTTTATAACTAATTTGATAGAAAAATCAGTTGTTTTGACATACGTAAATATCCTTTCGATTTATAAGTAAGAGCACTTCCGGTGTGTTGCGGAACTTCATTTCATTGTTAACGGCTGTTTTATTGGACAATCTGGGTTCCCTTTATCCAATCCAGCCTGCTCTTGGAAAGATGGGCAGAAAATCGAAACAATATGGCGATTGTTGACGAAGCTGTAGCCTAGTTGTCAAAGGAATTATAACACAGAAGTATGTATTTCCCATTAGGATGGCCGAAACGACTGAAGACGACAAAGGGACGATGTCAGGCTATAAACCATATTGTGAGCAGCTGTGATCGAATGCTTTTTGCTGTTATATCAGAGAGGGCTCTCAATATTTGGTACTCAAAGGTGAGCTACATTCTCTGTAAATAAGTATTTTTAGTGTAATCCCCCCTGCCCCTACTCGTCACTGATTGACTGGTTTTCAGTTTCATCCTGAATTCAACTTTCGTTCTGCACTTGACTTCGTCGTCTTTTCTTTCTCACCTTGGCTTATTGGATTATTAAAGGTAGGGCATGCCAATTGATGACTCGGACAAGTTCAGACCAAGAATGTCTTAAATTCTAGATCTAATCTAGATCTAGATCTAGATCTAGATCTAGTCTAGACTTCTAGATCTACACTGACTTGGGCCCTCCAAAGATTTCTCCTCAGCCTCAAACTCAAATAGAATTGATCTCTAGCAGTAGTGTCAGTGTACCAAACTTAGTGTAGATCTACTCGCTTAGTTTGTATTGACTCTTTCTCTCTTTGTAGTTTATGGCCTTCCGTAGTTTATAGCAGGCCTGTAGTGGCTCCAGCCTAGCTTGCTTTACTACACAAACCTACTTGACAAGAGCCAGTAACAAAAAGGAAGTTCCGCAGACGGCTGGTCGACCAACAACACACCCTAACGCTAACCCCTACCCGAACCATAACTCTTTTTTTACAGTGAACCTAGTCACAGTAAAGTAAGTGCTGGCCCCCTGCAGAACTCCTTCCCCCCCAAAAAACATCTCAGTCAATTATAGTCATTCATTGGCCCACTTGTATTGTACTAGATTTCTATAGAAGGCTAGATCTAGAAACACAGTCGCCATGGCTGTGCAATAACCTATATCTAGCAGTTATGACAGCCTCTCTACTCCCCCCTTTATAGTTTCCTCTTTAAAATGGAAACTGGCACGACACGGAAACACGCACAGAAATTTCTTCCTGGCTGAGGCTGATGGTTTTCATCAGTCGAAGGTGGAAGACGCTTTGGCTTTGCCTGCTCAGCCACGGTTTGAAACAATACTCCCTATTAAATTAAGTTCCTCTGGCTCTAACCTTTACGCTGTGCTGCTAGGAAAGGAAGGGAAATATGGGTGGTGTTGGGAGTTACTGATGAACCCCAGATTTTTTTTGTAAAAAGAATTTTTTAACTCTCACGGGGGCTCTCGTGGCCTAGAGGTTAAGGTGTTGGCCTTTCATTTAAAGGTCCCGGGTTCGAATCCATGCAGTGACCGAAAAATTTTCTTCTCTAAAATTGTCTCCTTTCACCTCCTTTCCTGCTCTCTAGCAATGTTCTGTCGTCTGTTTTCGTCTCCACTTTCTGCCCCCACCCCCTCACCTCCTTTGCCCCCTCTTCTGGGCTCCTGATTCTTTCTGCAGCTTTTCTACTCCTACTCCTTGGCTCCTTCTTACCCCTGATCTTATGGTAGGAAAGATCTACACCAAGCCTTCTCGGAGAAGGGCGAAAAAGCTCGGAGGGCCCGTGTGCAAGCTGCGCATGTTTAAGATTCCTTGCTGGTGTCTAAAATTGATTTAAGAGTAGGCTTCGGATGCCACCCGTGCAAAATTCAAAAGTTTAATGTGTCCCATGCACTCATATGACCTCATCATGCAGTTGCGAGTACTGTAAAACACTTACCAAAATTTTTCTTAAACAACAATAAAAAAACTCTCGCGTCATTCACTTTGTCCTTCACTTGGTCACAAACAACCTGGTCTGGAAGGACAGTGTTCCTGTAAACAAGCCACCCTTTCTTTTTTCTTCAGTTCAGAAAAATTTGGCTATTTTAGCAAAGTAATCTAGAACAAAAATGCAATAGGTCATGAACAACCCATCACATGCTCAAAATATTTATTACTATTATAATATAAGTGTAATATAGTTCGAACAAAAACATTTGTACCTCAAAAACTTACATTATAATAATTCGCAATAGATGTATATGTGAGATATCGTGATGAAATCAGGCACTCGTCAAAATAATGAAATTGAAGAAAGAGGCATTTTTCCTCCAGCTTAAAAATTTTTATTAGGTAGCGTAAACACAGCGTCGCGGGCACTCGCGGCCTTCCGAGTGCGTGGTTTCGGTGAAATCGGGGTAATTGAGATCGCTGTTGACTGAGAGGTTAGAGAATGGTATTATATATATGAACATTCTGAGAAATAAGCCTTTCATAGACAAATTTGGCACAGCTACTTTGAAAATTTAGTTTCTGGTACCTATGTTTATCGAATTATTGTTTTATTAGCTCAATACCTTTTTAGTCCAATTTCCATGTGAATTTTACTGGAAAAACATTTAATGGCACAAATGTGTAAATATTCAGTTTCCAGGGATTTTCAGGTTATTATAGAAGTTACCTACTTTGGCGGCCATTTTCTCGCTAATTTTACCCCTGAAACCATGCTACTCTCCACTCTTTGAATGGCTAATATATCGACTTCTTTTCAAGATAAATAGGCATTTTTTTTCATTAAAAAAGCAAGGCAAATTAATCAGCTTTCAGAAACCTCAGGGTCTAAAATTGACGAGTGCCTGATTCCACCACGTCGTGACACGACAAACTGAGTCGAAGTTCGTGCAGAAAGAATAAAAATGAACAAGCAAAGAAAAGTTGCTATAATACCCCAGCATGATGATGTAGTAAAACAATACCAACATAACACCCTCTTTAGGACTGGCATAGAGGCAGTCTTGTCACCAACAGCAAATGTGTCGCATACCTGCTTGTGTGTGTACATGATCCTACATCATTCGCAGGTTGACTTTATCATTATAAGCTTATTATTTTTTTTATTGCAATTTGGTCTTTGGATAGAAGGTGAGTTCCATTTATTCCACCTTTTCAAATCATTGCTTCTTAGAGAACATAAATGAATGATTTCCCAGTTGGTGTCATTCCGAGGAGCCTGGTATGCTAATGCTCAAGTGGTGATGGAACTGCTTTCTTTGTAGTGCTTCTCTTAGCAGTTGAGGGTATATATATCAGCTTGAACGTAAAGCAGGGGACTATGATAATAACTGTTCAAGAGTCTAAACCGACCCAACCTCACTCTTTTTGTTTGTTTTTTAACATTAAAGTGGGAGTCCCACGTGAGTTTGTAAATTTAGAAACCAAAGCACTCAAAGAATTGTGAAAGCCGTTGCTAGAGATTATAATTGTTTTATAGTTTTTTGTATTGTTAGCTAACAAAAAAATCTCTTGGGGATAACTGATATGCCCTGGTCCTGAGATTTATAAAATGTTGTTGGAAAAAATCATTGAAAAGCCACCTCAAAGGTGCACAAGATCTGCCCTACAGAAGTATGAGATTTATAATGTTGTTCCTGAGCCCATCGTTCTGTGCAATGGTGACTTCTGCTATTGAACATCGAGGGATCCTCAAGTTCTTAGATCCTCTGTAAAACCTGATTCCTACTAAGTGGTTGATGGTCTTGTCTTATGTACGACAGAAGTACTTTTTTTAGTTACCACGAGGAAGACAGAAATGTTGCATATATTCCTGCCTTTTTTTTTTTTTCTTTTTTTTTTTTTCTTTTACCTCAGACAAGATACTAGTGCAGTGGTCTGAGAGTCAGGACATTAATAGCTCTAGTTATTGTGTACTTGTAAATAATATTTTATCGTGACTGAGACACAAGGTACCGTTCTGTCACTACTCCTAAAAAAAACCCAACTAGGAAATCTTGCCTCTCAATATCAAGTTTGGAGTGGTTTTACCGAGTTTATAATACATATATTGAAATTATGATCTGTGTTTATTAAGAGGCATTTTGACGATACAAGCTTACTTTATTTTTTTATATTTTTTTTGTTCTCATCTTCACCATTTTTTATTTTAAATCTTTGTGACTTTATTCCTTTTTTAAAAATTATAGTGAAAAGTAGTTCTGACCTCAGCTGAAACTCCAGATATGGCAGGAAACACAAAAGTCATTGAAAAGGCATTTTCTACATTTGCAACACAATAAGTAAAATTTAAAAAGGAATTTGATCTCATTCATTTCACTCATTTTCAGACTACAACTTGCGGATTGCTAAATTTATAAGACGTGGTCATTATTATATCATTGCTTTTCTCTCCCTGGGTCAGAGTAAAGGCCACAAATGAACACTTTCTACCTTTCCCTATCCTTGGCTAGCCTCTTGATGTTATTCCGTCTTCTTCAGAGATTTTTTTAGGTCCCTAAAATATTTTCCCAGGGAATTGTCCCAACATTCTGAGTAGTACAATGAACATTTATTATATTTCCGTGAACTGATAAATATAAGCTTTTTCAGGTGTTGAGGTCATAGGCAATTTCAAAACAGAGATATAGAGAGAGACAGTGGTGCATTATGTGGGGAACTACGTGCAGTTGACTTGTATTGTCCAGTTTTGTAGTGATGTTCTTCTTGTTCTTTTTATAAGTTTCCCTTTTTCTTGTAATGCTCACCCGTCCTCTGTTAACCCGGCTATGGGTGGGTGGTTGGCGGGTGATCTGGTGTGGTTTGCTTGTTCTTTCTTATGAAACATCTATCGTCCTTATCTCCCCTTCTTCTTTTTTTATGTTTGTTACTCTCTTGTAACGCCTCTAATCTTCTGGCGCTCATATGACCTTATTCAGCCGTAAAACCTCTGCTAAAACTAAAAAAATGAACCCGGCTGTTAATGATATTGTTAGTCAGATAGCCAATTACCACACTGTACTCTGTGATGGTAGATGATTACCAGGAGCTGAAAAGATCAGATACAGCTCACTTTTGAATTTCTTTTTCGGACGAAATTTTTGGGCCTCAGTAATGGACCTTACTTTGGTGTAGTTTATAGTTTATAGTGTTAATGCTAATTACATGCTCCTTTGCAAGTATTGTGTTGCAAGTATTGTGTAGGTGGTCATCAAGTATTATCACATCCCCCGGGGCAGTGCGACTGAATAAAGAGTCTTTAGGCCATTCCCGAAAGGGAGGAAATTAACATGTTCTTATGCTCAGTCGATTTGTAAATGGGCTGATTCATCAATGTCATGCTCATAACTGTGCCTGAACTGAACTGCATACAGGGAACTGCTGCTTTTTCTTTCCTAATCCTTACTATTGTCATTTTTCCTCT